ATTTTATCAACAAGAACCCCGAGTTTACGCAGTTATGCGTCTAGTTTATTTTAAAACCTAAATACAGTAAAGTATCTTTGATTAGACTGATTTACATTCTGCTTTGATTTTGGTGTACTATTTGACTCCCGGACATATAGTGTTTTGTGCCGATACTCCGTGTCATCAGGGTCCCGGACCGATATAGACGAATTCTTTTCAAGGTCATTTTTGTATTTTAAAAGTTTTATTTTTTATTTTTTCGTACTTGTATGTAGTCGTATGTTACTCGTATGTGACTTGTGGGTAGTTTTTGCAACGATCGACTATCAGTTATCAGCTAAATAAACTCGAAATTCTCAGTTAACAGTTATTATTTTAGGCGTTTCTCAGTTAACAATTAACCCCATTCAGACCCTGTCTTTAGCAAAAGTATTTCAGAACATAGGCATGTGATGTCAACAATGTGACGGTTGAAGAGAAAACGTGACGACACAGGCATCCCAAGACTTTATGAGCAGATATAAAATGCTTTCTTTCTTCCAAGCCGTGAAAAGTTTTCGAAAATTCCCGAATCTCAATTTCAAATTCTTGAACTTGGATGGAACTTGAACTTCTTTGCAGGAATATCTTCTAAAAAGGTCCTATTTTGTGAATGAAGATTGCGCGCTACTTATAATCAGTCTATGCGCGAACACTTGTACATTTTAATCCATGTTTGTTAATGCCGATTGAAATACTTTTGATCGCTCGATCACGTACGCAAAAAAAATAAGCGAGCTATAAAGAGAACAAAGGCGAAAAATTAAGAGGTACTGAATTTTATCCAAGAGATGCGACGAGATCGCCAATGGTTTGAGCTCCCCCGGACTCAACTGCTTAAGTCCAACTGCAAGTACAAATTCACAAGCTAGTAAATCTACATAAGCTAAGTTGCCAAGTTCATGTAAGATGTTCACTACTACTCCCCAAAATAATTTGGTAGGTGGGCCTGACCCCCCCCCCCAGATTTCAAGGCTTTTTGAAGAAATGCAATGATATTTAAAAAAAAACAAGGTAATCCGCATTTGCTAAGAGCGTGCGCCGATAAGATATGCAGTCATAAAAGCGTGCGCATTCGCTCTTTTTTGTCTCTAAAGAAATAGTTGCCTATGGGCAATCTGGGTGTGCTCGACAGACGGACTGAAAAATGACCTTAAAAGTTATGCATAAATTAATTCAGGTATCGATTCCAGTCCCCAGGGGTACGAGCATTTTTGACGTCTTCCACAAGAGAAAAGGTCAAGTTTAACAAACTGTAGAAAATCAATGTCGATAGATTGTTGAGGTTAATAAAATCTATTTCTTTATTAAAACTTCTTCAATTGTTTCCCGTTGTTCAAAAAATGACCCAAAAAGGTACGGAGTCAGCTCAGAACCCTAAAAGAGGGTCTCAATGGGTGGTACCCATCACGACTCATGGCTAAAAATTTGGCGGTTTCACGACTCACGGCTATTTTTTTCGAATCACGGTTAACTAGATTACTTTCAGAAATTTTTGAAATACGTTTTTAATTACTTTTTCATGTAATTTGTTTTAAGCTAGAGATAGTGAGTGTGGAAGCACAGTGTCCCCTTGTACGTTATAGACACTCAGTTATTATAATTTTTTATCATCACTCTCAAATGTCAAATTTTGTCCATGCCCTGACTTGTCTGCAGGACCTTGTTGGTAGGTGCGATCCATTTGGAATTTTGAAGGGGCGGGAGTGGAAAAGTGAAAGATTTTGGGAAAACAACTCCTGGATGGCCCGAAGGGCCGAAAAAAATTATTGCAAGGCAAAATGTCGAAAAATCTCCACTAAAGCTTTTATTTTTTGAATTTACACAAAACTAGACGCTCTATGAGCGTAAAGTCGGGCTACTCAGAGAATGGGAAGGRTGTCTCTAACTCTTGTCAGCAAGTCTTTTTGTTTCCCACAAAATGACGTACATGTATGGGTGTCCTTGATGGCAAGCAAAAGAAAGAGCAAAAACATTGCGATCAATCCCTGTCAGAAACTTGACGGCCTAGAGTACATCACGCTTTACTTATATACCAGTATTTTTGCTTACTGAAAACCATACCATAAAATAATATAGCACACTAACATTTAAGAGGTG